ATGAAGTTTTGTGAGTAAACCAACTCTGTTGGTCTTAAAGAAGACTGTTTATTTTGTCTATTGAGAGCATGATTTAAAGGCATATATATTGTAAGGGAGAGTAGATGTTCTTAGGCAACTAAAGGAACATTTCTGAAACTCCGCTGTATATATCTCCAAAAGATAATTTGACCAGTGGGTTTTCAAAAGGGTTATGAATCCCATTTCCCAAATGGTTATGAAGATTTTCCAAAACATCAAACCAAAAAGTATTCCACTAACATATGTAAGCACAGGGTGTTTCAGGCAGCCACTTACAGTATGTATCACCCCAAAGAGGAAAATATTCTTGTGTAATTGATATGTCTAAGGACTTCATCATATTGAAGCAGGAAAGTGTTTGGTAGAGTAGATCTCAGTCATACTGAATTTTGAAATGACACTGTTAAATGTATCAGTGTTACTCAGTTGTACTCAGCATTCTTTTAGTTGATTTTTGCCATCACATTGTAATTGATGAATGGTGAAATTTTCAGTCGTTGCAGAGTAATCACATTGTTAACAACAATTTCCTAACCAAACCCCACGATTCCATATTAAAGTTAAACATCTTGAGTGCCATTCAGTGGAAGTTGAGCATGCCTGATTGACACAGAACTGAAGAACATAAGGACCATCAAATTAGGCACCAACTGTTTACTTCTATATGAGATTTATTCATTCGTTTGATGGTGCAGAAAATAATTATAAAGTGTATAAATAATTAGAGAAATTGTGTTTAATGTTTGCCAGCATGAGCTCTTTAGTCTCTCTCCTGTTCTCTGTCCTTGTTCCTCTCTTACCCACATCTTTCAAACACAGGTTTCATGATTGCAGATTGTTGATGTATTTCTAGTTTGTAGCTTTTAATTTATTTAGTTTTTAAGATTGTGCGTTGCTTTGGGTTTCAATGTTTGGGAGAAAAGAAGGGTAACAACAACAACAACAACAGAAATTAAAAACAAAAATAGATGGTATGCATTAAATTAGAAACATGTGTTGCAGAATCTTGGATGCAATTTAAGAAAAGGAAAAGTAAAGTGAGAAAAGAAAAACAAATGATATGGTGGTTGACACCACATGCATGAAGGTTGTATCATGGATCTCAGTGTAGTCTCCCTCATTTTGCAAATACTAAGAATCTGTATTTTTGCAGCAATCAGAACACAAGGCTCCATTGGCTGTTTCATTCCAAAATATCATACCTTTTGCATATTAAATACCTGTAGTTGATACTTGCAGAGAGAAAACACTACATTACTATTATGCAGCACACTTACCTCTGGAAATTCTGAGAAGGAAAATGGCCATAAAAAGCCAAATGTCAAAGAGGAGAGCCATTCTTGCGCCTATCCGTTTTACCCCATGCATCAATGGGTGATATATATGATATTCAAAGGAAGTGGGTTTGGCTTCTTTCTCCTATGTGGATTGCGTCAGAAACCGAGAAATCTACCTTAGCTCCAGTATGAACACTGAAAGTAATCTTTTGGTCATTTCTAGGCCTGAAATGTTCATCATGCCATTTCCACTAATTATTATTATTATTATTATTATTATTATTATTATTATTACTTCGAGCTTTTATAACCTGGTCTTCTCGACGTCCGAAGAGGGACTCAGGCCGGCTAACAGCAGAGGGTTAAAATACAATAAGATAAACCACAGCAAACATCATAATACAATGGTTCAAAAAATACATTAAAATACAATTATACAATTTCCAAAAGGTCAGTTCATCAGAATAAATCATAAATTCCCTTCTCAATGCAAAATGAAGCAAAAGAGAAAGAGTTCTCAGTTCTGACATCTTTTTACTCAGTTTGTGGTCTGGAATACAGAAGATGTTTCGTGTCATATATGTGCATCGAAGATTGGTGTGTAAAAGAAATGTTATGGAATTCATGAAAAAATCCTAATTTCCTGCTGAATCAGAAGTATGCTTTGTGGGAATTGGAAAGATCAGGTGAGAAAGGCACTGTGTTCAAATACCTATAGCCTCTATTTCCAATCAGAAACTAGAAATGAGGAGATTCAAAATACAATAGTTTAATCTTCAGAAAACATTAAGGAGTGGTTGCCAGAAAAGCAGAGCACTACGTTTGACAGTCCCACATCATTATAGTGAAACCATTGTCATTAAGGTTGTTTTTTTGTTGTTGTGTCAGGAGTGACTTGAGAAACTGCAAGTCGGTTCTGGTGTGAGAGAATTGGCCATCTGCAAGGATGTTGCCCAGGGGACACCGGATGATTTGATGTTTTTATCATCCTTGTGGGAGGCTTCTCTCATGTCCCCGCATGAGGAGCTGGAGCTGATAGAGGGAGCTCATCCACCTCTCCCGGATTCAAACCTGCGACCTGTCGGTCTTCAGTCCTGCCGGCACAGGGGTTTAACCCACTGCGCCACCGGGGACTCCGTTACATGTCCACTGCACTCCTTTCTTTTCTGCATCCCCCCCCCCCAGCGTTCCCTTCAATTCGGCTTGCCTCTGTTCCTTTTTTTCCAAAACAATCCTGTTTTTCTGAAAACAATCCTTCAATTTTCCCTCCTTCCATCTCTTTCAGGTCCTCCCGATCCCTCCCTCCTCTCACCCACATCTTTCCTCTGGTGCTTGGCAATGCTTCTTATCTCTTTCCAAATTCCTTCCCTCCTTTTCACTCTCTTCTCACTCAGTCCTCTGCTCTCTGTAACCCATTCTTAATTTTTTTTCTTGTAAAATTCACTTTTCAAATCTTAGCTCCATCACCTAGATAATTCTAGAGAGAATCTAGGAATCCCTAGATAAGTGGTTCCCAGTCTTTTTTATGACCAGGGCCCACTTGACCAGGGACCACTCTCCAACATTAGTACCAAAAGGGTTAGAATCAGTTTTTGGTCAGCTTTAGATTCAGTTTGGTTATTTGGGGGTGCTGATTCAGAAAATTGCATTGGATAAGCCACATCAGCACTAGTTTCTGATACAGAACATAGGCCATCCAGTAATCACCATCTGATCACCCACAGAAAAACATATTTAATAAGCCTCGGCACTATAAGAGGGTTTCGCAAGACCAGTTCCTTTGTTGCAACTGTGCAGTAACAGTGAGGCCGTAGAGCATATTTTAGTTCTTGTGGACTACTGGTGGTCCATGGACCACAGGTTGGGAACCACTGGTCTAGATCCTCCAATGCACTTCTCTGGTCAGATTTCAGCAGAGGTTGACCATAACATTGTGCTGGAAGATGCAGTCATTCCTGGGGTGGTGTTAAGTTAAGACAT